TTTTTTGATATAGAAATTCTTTTGAGAATTTTTTTTTAATAGGTGGTAAGAATCTTTGAATTTTTTTTAATAGGGCAAATGTATTTTTTGATGGAAGATTTTCGTTAGAAATTTTTCTTTAATCGGGGATATTTTTTTTGATTGAGAATTTCATTAGAGAATTGTTTGTTGAAAAATTTTTTTTATTTTTTTGATGGAGAATTTTGTTTAGAAATCTTAATAGAAAATTTTATTGAAAATAGTTTTTTTTTAATAAGTGTATCGAGAATTTTGGCTTGAAATTTTTTTTTTAATAAAGAATTTCATCAGAGATCTTTTTTTTTATAAAAAATTGATTGAAAATTTATTGGAAAATTTTTTATTATTTTACAATTCTCATCACTTTTTTCATCTCCCATCACTCCTCTTCATCTTCTCATCACTTCTTTTTGTCTCCCATCACTCCTTTTATCTCTCATCACTCCTCTTCGTCTCCCATCACTTCTTTTCGTCTCCCATCACTCCACTTCATCTTCCCATTACTTCTTTTCGTCTCCCATCACTCCTTTTTATCTCCCATCACTCCTCTTTGTCTCCTATCACTTCTTTTCATTTCCCATCACTCCTTTTCATCTCTCATCATGTCCTATTTCTCCTTTTTGTTTCCTATCACTTCTCATTACTCTTTTTTACTCCCTTTCATCTTCTATTACTTTCCATTAATCCATTGTTATTTCATTTTTTTTATTAGCATCTTTCTCCTTGATCATTGTAATTTACTTATCTTTTTTATTTATTGTGAGCCAAGTCGAGCCATACTTAAATTGGCTTGATGCTTGACAAGCCGGCTCGAAAAAGCTCGATCTGGCTCGCCTACAAAGTAATAAAATAAAAATTAATCATATGACTTCCCGATATTCTGATTTACCGATCCGATCGGTTGATTGATAATCAACTTTTTGTATAAAAAAAATATATATTTTTTTTTTACCGATCTTTTTTTAGCTTGTAGATAAGAATGCGGAAAAGCCTGTGTAATGATCACACGAAACAAATGTTGCAGTGCTGTAAAATTTATGATTTATTTGTATATTTACAAATTCATTACAAAGACAATTTTGTATAGTAATTTATTGTTATATTGTTACAAAAAATCTTTATTTTTTTTATCTTAAAAAAATTCCATTGTAGCATTAAAAAGAATTACATCCTCTGTTGAAAAAAATACGTATATATTGTTACCATATCTTAAAGAAATTCATTATAGCAATCTATTGTTATAGAAAAAAAAAAAATATCTCACTAATTAATATGAAAAAAATTCCCAGAAAAATTAATTATAACGATCTATTGATATGAAAAAAAAACAATTCCCAGAAATATTTATAACTATCTATTGTTGTTACAAAAATAAATAAATAATTATGTTACAGCCTAAAAAATAATAGTAAGAATCGGGAAAAAAGGCAATTGCCGTAGCGGCGCAGCATCGATCCAAACCTAAATGGTGAAAGAATGTATTCGGGAAAAAAAATTCGGTTTGAAAAAAAAGCCAACCGGAAAAAACACAAAAAAAATTCAAAATACTTTTACTGTCGTTATTTAAT